TGTACCTTCTATACATGTGTAAAATGGTTCATCCTTTATTATTTTCTTGCTATGCATAATTTTAGTTGCAGTATATGTAATTGCTACATCGCGCGTTATACAGATTTTTAATAACATTGTAATATTTTTTGTTAACGTTGAATTAAAGTCTACATAACGATAAAGATGTTCACACTAAAATAAAATTAATTTTAAAATTTTTAACGGGATGTACACTCTTTTTCAAATAATAATAAATTATATTTTGTAAAATAAATAAACTCACAAAATTGGATCGGAATTCAATATCGTTGTCTAATTGAACATTGATATTCCTAAATTCTTCATTTGTTTTTGCAGGTAGCATTGTCTCATATTTTTTTGAGAACATATTATCTGCATCCATTTTGGAACTAGTCTGGCTTATCATTTTATTTTTTGATTTTTTGATCATTTGATTTTAGTATCATGTAGTAAACTTTCAAATTTTATCGATATTAAATCTAATTCTGTGAAACAAAAATAACAAATTAAATTGCATGTACATACATAAACAATTCGACAGCGAGATTTGTATATTTGAATAATACATCTAATAATATGTAAACAAATCTTCCTTTTATTAATTTTTCTTGATTCACTTTCCAGCATTAACAATTTTGACCAAATTATATTTATATTGATGTTAAGCGGGTTCAGTTCTGAAAATTAAATTTTATAAAATATTAATACATACAAAAATTAATGTCGTTACTGTTTATTAGTCTTTATAATAAGTGTACAGTAAATTTAAACATTTTTATAAAAATATTGTATACCTTTGTCGTTTGTGTAGTCCATTAAATCGTTTTCAGATATGACAGGTAATCGCGTATCAAGCAACATAGTAGGTGTAGTAGGTGATTCCATACAGTAGGTCTCCATAGTAGGTGATTGGTCTAAAAAATGGTAATTTAAAAAAAATTTACTATGTATGTGATATTGGAAGGTGTAACAACGAGAGATAGCGCTTGGACATTTTAAAATGCAATCATACCTGACTGGTTGCAAGAGTTTTTTGTAATCGCAGGAACTTCATTAAGCAAATGTTTTATTTCTTCTATATCTTTTTTAAACCTTTTTTGTCGATAAACTGCCTTCGCTTTCTTCATTTTTTCTTCATCATCTTCCGAATTCTGCGAAAAAGCAGTTTCAGTTCTTTCAAGAAGTATCAAACAATCAAGCGCTTCTGTATATGTTCCTGAAATAACCATTTTATTAAATTTATTGTGATTACTTAATCGAAATATGTAAGTTACAGCAATCCATCATATTCAGAATTTAGTTTTTATTTGTGTGAACCGCAGCAATTTATATATAATACATACTTGCTTGACCAATAATATCAATATTATAGGATGGCCATGACTCTGGTGCTTCAGATTCTTGTTTTACCATATCGTGGAGTTGATTAATATTTTTTTTTGTATATGGAAGATCAAGAAATAAAACTTTCAATTTTTTTTTTTTTTATCCCAGTTAATCCAGGCTGAAGGAACAATATCAATTTCTTTCGTAGGACCTTTTTTCCTACGTTTAATAAACCTTACAATTTTGAATCGATAAATCATTTCATCATCGTTACTCTCATGTTGTCAGACATCTATAAATATATATAAATATATCCTTATATGACGCTGAAGCTGGCAGCCACACTCATTGTTAGTGGTAAAAAAAAAATTGAACAAATCAGATACAAAGTCTACAAGTCTAAATTTTGGGCTTAGAATCTCATTCAGAATCATGTTTAAAATGTCATTTTAATAATTTAGAATTATTAAACATTAATTTCAAGATATTTATTTAGTTTAGGCCCTTCACCTCAAATTTTTATCAAATTATGCTTATTCGACGCGTTTTTGCGTGAAATAAAAAAAATTTAGCACAAAAAATTGTCGCTCTGCCGCGCGAAATATTAACCGTTTAAGTTGATCACTCTCTCAGGTTAAGAAAGCTCATATCGACGAAATGGATGATATATATATGTGTGTTAATTCCAATAATATAATACTTACCGTGCCACACTGCCACTTCCACTATTTGTTCTTGTTCAAACTATTTTTATTTTCACACAATTATCACACAAAACTCGCAATTTTATTTATTTAATAAAAAATTGCTATACTCTTGACACTGTTTTAAACTGTTTAACACTATCGAGGCGGCGCTGAAACGTGTTATCGAGTCGCATTTATTTTATTTATATATTTTTTTATATATATATTTATTTATATATTTATATATACAATTTTTTTTAAGTTATATTTTATTATTTTTGAAAGATTTTATACATATAAACTTTTTTTAAAGATTTTATATTATAATTGTATACAATAAAATTTTAAAATACATTTAATGTAAAAGGGAAATTACAAATATTTTTTCCCTGTTTGTTTCGTCGAACATTGATAATCTTATTAATTTATGTTTAATTTTCTGTACAAAAATTATTTTTTTTTCTTTTAAAGGATTGAGGTGTAATTCATACATATTTAAATTCGTTGAATCACAAGGGTAAATATATAATGAATTTTTTACTTTCCATATTTTAATTTCTAAAATATCATTATTTTCTATGAACATTTTAGTTACCTCACATATTTTGTTATTTTCTAACAAAATCATATTGTTTGGTGGCTTTATTGTTATTATCATTGCTTTATATTTCAGCTTTTTTATATCTGTTTTATTTCCTTTTAAAATATTTATAGATGGAAGTAAACATGAATGATTAAGATATATATTAATTTCATGCAGCCTTCGAGCCAATTGCGCCAAAATATTGTGAGGTGATCTTATAATAGTTTTTAATTGTCCTAAATATGTTTCAAATGGAAACGCACTTATTGAATTCAATCCACACTGCATATTTCTTACATCATCTGAAATATGCATTAAATTATGGACATTTATGACTACAAATTTTGGACCATAAAGTTTTTCTGCTAGCACAATAAACTTTGTAAGTAATTTTTCAGTATAATCTGTATATTCAAATGCATTTTTCATTGATAACATTCGACACGCTACATGAAGTAATAAAGAATGTTGGTATTTATCGCTGTCTAAAATGTCTTTTAATATTACAGGGCCACAGAATAGCAAAATAAATCGGTAATTCGTGGCTTTAAATTTAGCATGGTGCTCAATACCTCTAATTTTCGGTGGAATTCCTCGGACTGTTAAAATCTTATTTTTCTATTCGACTTGACAATAAATTCTTTTGATTATTACTCAGCTGCACATTAAAATCAGATGACATCCAAGCATCAACTAAACGTTTCATAACTCCTAGGTAGCACAAGTGCATCGAATCGAGTAGGAAATCATTGACCATGTTGACTGGCGGCTTTATGCATAGTAAAGGTGATACTGCTACATGATGGTCCATATGAGAAAAATTGCGGAAACTTTCATCGCTTCTTTTAGGGCAATTAACATCTAAATATGTGGCTATCTTATGCTTAGTTTGACGCTCTATCAGACATCGTTCACAACTATATTTTGCATTGTGACCTTTAATACATTTAAGGTATGCTCTGGCAGGTGTGTCACAAATGAAACATTTTATTTTTATACCATAATGTTTGTTATTTATAACTGTACCTCTGTTTTGCAAGATATTAATTTCAGCAATAAAATCTTTCATAAAAAAATTGATTGATTTGGGTTTACTATTACCCACATAAGCAGCAGCTACGAAGGGCTTATAAATGTCTGGCTTGAAATGTATTTTGATTAGAATAGGCCACATAGATTTTATACTCGATTTAAATAGTTTTATTCCATCAATGTTAATTTGTAATTCGATAAGGTTGCCAGAATGTATTTCAGAATTGACGCAAGATTGCAATCCTTGTTCAACACCAAAATACGAATATTCTTCATTTGTAATGTTATCGCAGTCTTCCATTTTGCTTATTTCATATGATGAGGTACTAGTTTTTAAAAACGTTGTTGATGATTTTGGTAATGTAAGCAAGAGTCTTTGTTAAACAATTTTTAACAATTTATCAAGATGTACTAGCGGAATTCTACATTCAATAGCCCACGATCGTAGTTTCGATATTTCTTCGATTTCTTCTTCATCAATTATATGCTCATCAACATCACTCTGATCATTATTATTATCAATTTCTTCATTCACAGTTTCTGAATCACTTCCATCAAAATCATTCATCACTTCTCCTACGTTTATATTGTCCGTATAATTACTGGAATCACTTAACGCTTCTTCTACGTTTATGTCATCCATATGATTTACATCGGAATCACTCAATTCTTCTCTTACATTTATATTATCCATATAATCTACTGTAATAAAACATATAATCTATTATAATAAAACATTTTTTTCTATTGTTATATATATATTTGCTTTAATATTATTAATTACATGATCAATACCTTTTGAAGTTACACCGCTAAAACTTGGTTTATCACATGCATCACGTTTTCCTCGTTCATATAAATAATCGCGTTTAAATTTTTTAAGTTGACGATATTTTTGTGCTAGAATTTTAGATTTTATTTTCTTGGCATCCATTTTCGTATGGAGGTAGAGGCAGTTTGACGCAGTTTGTTTAAAAATATCTGAAATAATTATCTACGCATGCGTAGATCACTATTAAAAAATCTATTTCTAAGAACGAAAAGTTCAATGGCGCAAATGTGGGCCTAATGTGGCGCAAGTGTTGGCCGCCCAGTCAAATCCAGACCTACGCCTATTTAATTTTATAGTAATGCTACCTCATTTATGTATCAGACAAGCATGGCCCTGATATGGATCTTTTTAGTTTTTTAGAATAAGGCTGTGGCATGGCAAACTTGTATGGCGCTGACAAATGTCATGGCACCAGTAAGGCAATTTCTACCAGGGTAGTTTGTAATATTGGTGAATGTTTAAGATGTTTATGATTTAAGACGCGGCGTACGTACGCTATTATCTGCGCGCTATCACCTTTTGCCACTATTTGCACGATAATATTCAAACAAAATAGACAGCAATTGCTTTATTTTATTATATTATTTCTCATATCATAACCGCCTTTTATAAGTGCCATAAAAAGTAGCTATCGATGAACTATTGAGGAGAAGAAAACCCGGAAAATATCAGACATCGGCAAACTTCAACGTAAGTAGTTTATTATCTATTTATTATTTATAGTGCTCGGATTTCAGATAGTCGAGCAATTTCGACAGTTTGGATCTCAATAAATATGATAACTTAATATTATAAAAAATATATAATAAATAGATATTTATAAAATTTAATAACGTTTAATATATATATCTATTGATTTATATGGCTTTTTGCTAGATATTTAAAATATTATTAAATTATTTAACGTTAATATAATTATTATACGGTTTTTTCTCAATCTTTTTTATTCTCTCAATGTCTTTTACCTTTTCTCATTCTCTTTACCGTAAGCTATTCTTGTCGTTGCCGTCTATTTTGCTTGAATACCATCGTGCAAATAGTAGCAAAAAGTGATAGCGCGCAGATAAGCGTACGTACGCCGCGTCTCTTATATTTTATTTTAATTGACCACAAATTATTAAAAGAAATGTTAGATAACAAAAAATATTCTTTTAAAGATTTAAATTGATTTTATCAAATGTGCAGTATATAAGAAATGGCAGTATTAACACAGTGATATGAATATCCGCATAAAGTTAAAAATAAACAAATAGTTTCTAATGCATTTACTTACCCTCCAATTTTTTTACCAATTGGTCGAATTTTCAGATGTTATAAATCGACTACTGTTAACATTTGAAGTATTTCATCTGTTCCGAGATGTTCAAACTCGACCCATACTTTTTTAATTTCAAATCCTTCAAATAGTTACAAAATGTTGAATCTTTTGTCTGAGTCTTACTTCGCACTTTACAGTTATTCGGCGAATTGTGTCGGTCGAGTTTTACTTTGGAAAACCGCAGCACGATATTTCTGGACTACAAGATATGTGTGAGGAGCTTAATATCCAACGCAGGAAAAGGCAGTCCTACAATCAATGCGTTAGCAATTAAACCCAATAAAGGTTGTATGGATCCTTTATCTTCAATAAAAATTGAGATTGAATTTCGGCCGATGTTGCTCGGCGCTTTCGAGATTAAATTTGAACTACAAGTATGTTACAATATGACATACTCTAATCGAATTTTACAAATTAAATTCTTTGCATTAACTGTTACAATAAGAATCACTTCGTACAAAATACAAGTACAGTGTGAAACTAAAGTACCGTGTTTTATCATTGTTATTAGATGGTGCATTTAGATCCATTAATAATTACTGCAAAAGGTATTGCAAGTTATCCGCAAATTTATCCCTGTATCCAGCGCGACCACATAGTTAAACACTACTCTGTAAAATTAAACTACCAGGCAATTCAATTACTAACTCCGGACTATATTTCTATGGTATGAAACATTGGCTTTATATACAAAAATGAGAAAATTGTTTTAACGTTTTGCATTACAGAAAAAGCAAGAAATAAAAACACAATGTAATGATGTAGGCGATGATAAACCAAAGAATCAACTGCCCGAATGGGATAAAAAAATCTTATTAAGTAAAATTATACATAATAAAGTATCTGAAATAATAAAATAGATAATCGAATATAAATCAAGTAACTCCCATCAAATATTTTTAAGGTGATGGATGGGACTTAATTTTGTATGATGAAATATTTCCTAATATTATTGATATTGAGATGGCAATTGACAGATTCCTTGCAACTCGATATATTGAAGAAAATATTTCTGTCTTAATAAGACATCCGGTTGCACACAAAAATACAGTTATTCCTTCTCTGTATACTCCCGAATATATTATAGGTACATTTACAAAGTCTCGATTATTCTCGAATTAATTAATTGTGGTTAATTACTTCCAAATTAATTAGATAATTACACTGTAGATAATTACAAGCAAAATTGACAATATTGGTAATTAGATAATTAATGATGCAACAAATATTTTCAGATATGGGTTACATTACAATTGATCTAAAAACGTGTTATTCGACATCAATTATTAATTACGGGCCTTGGAAAGTGGATGTTACAATAAAGAAATTAAATAAAAAGCAACTCGAGAATTCTGGTATTTTCGTACTATTTGAGAAAACAACATTAGCTGTGGGAAAAACTACATCACTGACTGTTGTATGGCAGCCAACATCAGCGAAATATATTGAAAGAAGCACAAAAAAGCAGCATTTGATTTATTTAGAAGTAAAGTTAATTTTCTTTTAATATTCGAATAAAATAAAAATTAATTAAATTAAAATCGAAATAAGTTAAAATAAAATATTTGTTGCTTATGACGACATAATACATTAACAATTTAATCATAAAAATAAATAATAAAATAATTTAAACAAAAATTAATTATGATTTATTATTTTATACAGGTATCTCGAGGTTCTACTATTCCTATATTTATAAAAGGAATCATTACTTATCCGTTCGTAACTGTTAACACGAAATTATTAGATTTTCAGAATGTCATTGTAGGAGAATGTTTAATGATGAGCGTTTTAGTAAAAAACGAGTACTATATTTTTATAAACATACTTAATATTTTTTTTTTCAGAAAATACATGTATATTTTAATTTTTAAGGGGCTTTATTGATTGCTATTGGGAAGCAAAAATATTAACTATTCGCAAAAAACCAGAAAACTGTTCATTTAATCTAAATTACAAATCTGGTCTTCTTTTATCTGGCCAGTCGGACATTATTGATATTTACTTCAAGCCACGTAAAACGGTTATATATTATATATATATATATTATACGGTTATATTATATATATTGTCGCACATGTTCGTACAAATGAATGACAATGAAATCATTGTCATTTACAGGGCCGCGTAGAAGCAAATCTAAAAATCAATGTTAAAATGAGACCGGAGACGCAAACAGTAATATTGCTTGGCCGTGGAGTCGAATATAAGCTACGGATAAGCGATCTCAATGTTAATTTTCCACCCATAACACTTTTCACCGAAGCGCCAGAAAAAATATTTACAATTGAAAATATTTGCAATTACCCTGTGGAATTTTTCTGGCATCATCTTGACAGGTAATTAATATCAAGTGAAAATAAATTGGAAATTAACAAATTAAAAGCGAAATAAAAGATAGCAAGAGAAATGTTGCGGTAAAAATTATCGCAAAAAATGTCCGGTTATTTTTTCACTTTCCGATTAGCATAAGAGGAAAAGTGATAAATAAAATGGCGTGGAACGCACTTTACTGAATAAACCGACGTGTCGCAGTCTTTTTTTAGAGGAGGACCGAGCTGCCGAGGCACTGACTCGTTACTATGGAGTTAAAGAAATCCTATTACCGCCTCGAAAACTAGGAGAGAGAATGCCATCGTTTTTAATAGAATTTTATAATAGCCTCATGAGTGAGATGGCATACGCTTTATCATCAGAAACAATCGAGGATAAAAGTGTTACTACGCTGAATGGTATACATTAAGAGTTAAAAATAAACTTTCTTTTTCGAAGATTATAACTGACACGCTGTGAGAAAAAATTCTACGAAATAATAATTCTAATTTCTTTGAAGAAAATTTGGTATTAATGCATGAATATCATAATGCAATATATCTGATTATATTTAAACAAGTGATGACAAAAACTTTTAGACTCTGGCTATGAAAATAGAATACGAGCAACAAGGAAGTCATCTAGTACATCAAAATTATCTGCTCCAGAATCTTCATCTCAACGAGAATCAAAAATCGATCTGCAAAAAGGATCCGACCGATGGAAAGTGAAAAAATCTACAAGTTATTCATCTACTTCCATAGAAAGTGTAAAAAGAGATTGCCTATCTATGTCAGTTTTTAATGAACTTGATTTTCCTCGTGAACCGCCAATATTGTCAACAAGCAATTCTGAAAAACTGCAAAGTCTTCTCCTCTGTAAGTTATTTTATATTATTTTATAAGTTGTTAATAAAAATGACAAATGTCTGTAATCTATAAACAAACATTCTCGATTTATAATTTTTATTGCATCTGCATTGTTTAACGAGAAAATAGCTTTTTATTTCTGCTATTAAGGCTACATAGAGACTTTGCGTAAAGATCCCAACTTATATGAGAAAATGAGAGATCCTGTGAAGGATCTGTTTGAAAGTCCCGAAACGGTGTTGATTCAAGAGCCTGGGTTCGACTCTTCGCAACCAGCCAAGAAAGTCTGCATTATTTTCCACGGTGCACCGTTCACTGGTAATCTTGCATAAAATACACATATGCGAAGAGAATATATATTTACTCGATCGCGTTCCTGTTTAGAATACCAGGAAACCGCGTGTATAAGCGCTAAGATATTGCAAGTACCGCTACTATATATAGATAATGTCATTATCGAAGGCATCGCACTTGGCGACAAATGGTTCTCTATTAAGCTACGACAGATCATCGATGATGCCTATCAAGAGTATTTGTCAACATTTAAAAAACATAAGTAATTATAAAACTAAAAGCCATTCAATTTTTAAAGATATAATCTACATTTAAGAGCAATTCTATTATTTTTATATAAAATAGATATAAGAAAACTTTTAATTTTTTTTTCACGTTAGAGACATTTTGGAAATTAAATTGCCAGTGACAAGGAAAATCGACGCAAAAGTTGTGGAACATAATCAAGAAACAACTGTAAGAGAAGAATCACTTGAACCAAACCGAACAAAATTACCGAAACAACAAAAATCTTCGAAAACAATTAAATCCAATTCAGAAACAGCAACAAAAATTGAATATACTGAAAGCAATGCTCAAGAATTAATTACTCTGTTTGAAATGGAATTCTCGAAACTTCCAACGGAACAGGATTTGCAATTTTTAGATCCTGTGAGCCTCTATGAATGTAAAATTCAGACAATTTTGCTACTGCAAAGAATTTTTTCTTGTTACTCGATAGTTGAATCGAAAGTCAGCAAGAAAAGTGCTGAGAAAAGCCAGAATGATATTTTCCTCGATATTGAAAGCGGCCTGTTAATCGAAGTTTTTCGAGAAAGGTATGACATTATTTTACATCATGTATTTGATATAACCACAACAAATAAATAATTTTTAAATAAAATAATATTTATGCATCTCACACTTTATATATCAAATTTAATTATATAGTCTAAAAAGCAATTATCTGCTATATATAATATTATTAATTTGTTATATATTATTTGCTATATAATACTAATTTTTGAAATATTTTTTTAATTCTTTAAACATAATTTTCTCTGCATATATTTTAAATTAAAAAAAAAATCCTTTTCTTATTACTTTTAATAAATAGATTATCCTCGCATGATTTCAAAAGCGGTTTTGTACTGCAAACTTTAAACAATATTTTCTTCAAGAGCGACGTTATCACATTACTCGTATTGCTTAATATTGTTGGATATGTGGAATACGCATTGTTTGTAACTTTTTTAAACTCGATGGATACTTATGTTCGAAAAATGAAGAAACTGCACGAATTAAAAGGTAGATCATGCAATGAAATAGATTAAATTATAAAAATTATTTAATTATTATATTAATTATTTAAATATAGCAAAAAAATTATCAGAAGAAACTGCTAAAAAAATTCAAGAAATTGATGAAATGTCGTTATCCGAATATGAGTTACTTGCAGAAAATGATAAAAAGTTCTATCTGGAATCAACTTTACCAATAAAAAAACAGGAAGCGTTGCAAAGACGAATGCAATTTGTACAACAGATGACGGAAATGAGAAAAAGAAAAGTATTCACTTCAATATAACTTTAAAAATCTGCATTACGCAGTTTTAACTTTTCTTAAGAATTTTTGTAGAATGACTGTAACGCTCAATAATTTTTTATCCTTTTTTTATTACCAATTTTTTATTACCAATTACAATTCACTATTATCAATATTAATGCAGATATAATTATATTCGTAATTTTTCAAATTATGCGCACTTATCAATAATGCATGTTGCACAGAAGATATCTCAACGACCAAAAAATGAGAAAACCGATAGTTTTGATAAAAAATCTCGAACTTCTAAAGCACCCATTAACAAGAAACAAATTCAAGATCATAAAAAGTTGGAAAGTAACGATATTGTTCAATTAATATTTAAAATTGAATAAAATATGATAGAAATTAGTTTATGAAGTAAAAGAAATTATAATTTAATTTTTTTAGTTTTATATGATTTAGAAGAGCAACAGATACCAAAAAAAGTGGAGAATATTGCCAATGCCATGAGTGATTACTATGACAGTCTTTTGGCAATAGAAAATGTTATTAAAAATTGGGATTTTCATAAAAAGGTAAATTTTTACAAATTTCTAGATTATTTGAATTATTTTTTTATTCGAAGCATGAATTGTTATTAATTATTATTGTCAATTTTAGGATGTGCTTTTTACGACGGAAAACATAGTTTTGAAGCCTGATAAATCTGAAGATAAACGTATGAATGTCAGTAAAGAGATAATATATAATTTCGATTTTAATTACTTAGGTAGCACATGTTCGTTTCATATATACGTTTCTTAAATGTATCTAATGTTTTTTAACCGTCAAGAACCAATAAGAAACGTTTTTGAAACCATAATTTAAGAAACGTTCAAAAAAACAAATAATTTAAGAAAGTATATTAGCTATGGCATTTATATAAACATATATATTTATTTTAATGAAAGAAAAAGGCCCAGTCAGCGCAAATGTCTCAAAGACATTTAAAAGACGTCTAAAAAATGTATAAAATTTTTTAAGCTTCTTTTAGTTGTCTTAGTACACATATACATGTGTATGAATGCATTATTTTATTAATTCCGTGAGAAAAAGCAAATTTTTTCGCGGATAAAGAAAAAAACGTTTTTTCCTTTTATTCGTAAAAAAAATATATATTTATATAAATGCAATAGTTAATATATTTTTTGCAATGTTACAAATAAGATGTTACAATAAAATATCACAAATATAGTAAATATCAATATATCACAATATCAATATCACAAATATAGTAAAATATAGTATTTAAAAAAAAATTCCTATACTAAATTATTTTTATTAATTAAACTCTTATAATAATTATGTAACTTTTATTACATTAAATTCTTGAAGAACATTTAAACAACATTATATTAAAGAAAAGATAAATAAAAAAAATTAAAACAAATAAAATTTTTTTTAATTTTTCTGAGAAAAGTGAGATTCCGTGAAAAAACATTTTTTTTGTGGATAAAAGAGTTTCTTGATCGTTTCTTAAACGTTTTTTTGACGGAAAAATAACATTTCTCTTAATATTTTTCGGATTGACATTTTAACCAATGAGAAACGTTTTTAAAAACCGTTATAAAACGTTTCGAAGAAACAAACATGTGCTACCTGAGTAACAGCTGAATAAAATTTATGAATTTTTATCGAAATGTATCTGAAGAAATAATTATTTATTTCTCTTATAGTAACGTATTCCATATTTTACGTATTTCACCTATATACGCAAAACAACGATTATATTTAAGTATACATAATTAAAATATCGCAAACTTTAACCATATTTATAATTTAATTATTTCAATAGACAAATGAATTTCATATCTGGTACGTAAATGCCACTGACCCGTGGAATCGGATGATATATGACATGATAGTTAATCAAATGAGCGAAAACAGCTTAGCTAAGAAAGCTCTTTGTAAGCAATATAATCATTATCTTAAAATACGTTCTTACATCACATAAAAGTTATTAAATAACAATATTCAATATTTGCTAATAATAGCTGCCAAAATTTTATCGAAATCGGATCTTGAACCGAAAAAATATTATATTCTTAAACCTAAGAATATAAGAAAACGGGATATTAAAAGCAATGGTAAACATATTATTAATTTTTTAATTTTTTAGTTACAATAATTATTTGTATATATTGTATATATATATATATCTGTTGCAAACGTTAATTGTAATTTTATGTTATTAATCAGGAAGTTATCAAATAGTCTCCTTATCCATAATACCCGACTTCATGATTAGGACAATCGATTCTTCAAACGCTAGCATAGTTAATAATCAAGAAAATCACGAGACAAATGAAAAGCGTAAAAAACGTTCACATCACGATTTCAATAAACCTGAAGATGCTAAATCGTTAAACACATTGACGATAGAGAGCAAGAATACTAATGCATTTAATGCAAATGTTATTCTCGAGGAGATATTGAAACCACGATGGATTTTGCAACCTAAGGAATGTCAAACATTCAAGATCCGATATCAACCCAAAGATGTAGGAATTCATCAACAAACATACACGTTATCCATCATCGACGGCAATGATATCACTTATGATATTAACGTTTACGGTATCGCGGATCTTCCAACACTGGATATGAATCCTAATGCTATTTTTTCAAAGGTAATAATATTTTCTAGATATATACAGGGTGTCCCGTAAAGACCGTAACAACGCTTAGGGGTATATTTCTGAGATAATTCTGAGCAAAAAATCTTAATACCAAAATACTCAGGGTGTAATGATTTTTGAATTAGAAGCATTTAAAGTTAGCGAATAAGATAGCCTGAAATTTGCGCAGGTGTGTACAACGTACAGTGATAAAAGCGAAATTGACTATCGTTCCCCTGTTGTCAGTATTAATATTTGGAAAATAAATTTGCTAATACATATTAACATAAATATTGTTTACGCAATTAAGATTTTGTTGAAAATATTATAAAGAAAAAAATATTATAAAGAAAAAAACGCAAGCTGTCAAAAATTACATTTCTTTGACATTTCTTTTTATCTTATAGATATTTGTACAATAAAATTATTAAATGTCAAAGAAATGTAATTTTTGACAGCTTGCGTTTTGTGTATCATAATATTTTTTTTTTATAATATTTTCAACAAAATCTTAATTGCGTAAACAATATTTATGTTAATATGTATTAGCAAATTTATTTTAAAAATTTATTTAAGTTTATTTATTTAATTTATTTAAGTTTATTTATTTAAATTTATTTAAGATTCTCGAAAACTGAATGTTTTACAAGATATGTTGTATTTTATGTCAAAATACTATAACATTCAAGCCTTATAACTCAAAAAGTACTTAATAAAAAAATATTTTATTATAGTGTTTTGGAAAGGTCTCGACTTCAGCTATAAGAATATGTAATAAAAAATAGGGGTTTTAGTTTAAAATTTTTATGTTGACCTTGACCAGCTTTTCAAGATCATCCCAAGATCAAATAAATATCATCAGCTAATAGATTTCTTTAAACCCTACTCTTTTTGTTTGAAATATTTTTCCAATAAATTAATATTTTCTGAGATAATTGACCGTTCCGTAACTTTTGCCACGCACTGTATATGCAGTTTTTAAAATAAATTCTAGTTTGCTTCAACAAATTTCCGCAAATTGAAATAAATTAAGAGTCAGAATTATTTAAAAATATGTATTTAAAATAACTAAGTATTTTTATTGATATGTCAATGTAACGTAGATGATTTCAGAAGTTTAACCATTAAATTATAAATATTAATATAAATATTAATTTATAAATATTAATGTATTATGAGAAATAAACTTCTATCAATATACTGGCCATGATCACTTTAATACCTACATAGTATTATTTTATTCAAATTATATTTAAGCAGAACGCAGCGCTTTCTGCTGAAGTATTTTTAAAGAAAGTAAGCAATTAAATCTGATTGGTACATTTTCACCAATCAAATCTAATTTTCTTATTAACAAGCGCTGATTTTGCTGAACATAGTCATTACTAATTATGATTGCGCGCATTTTAATTGGCATTCTAGATAATCAATTAACATCACACGAAAATCTCGCGATACTTTATACGACACTCCTATTTTGGTGGTGGTTAAAGAAAATGCACCTTATTTCATGCAATGTCGACGTGATGTCCCGTACTGTCGTAATGCCTTTCGTATTCCGTAACGCATTTACCGTACACTGTATATCGCGAACCAGACGTGTTACGTTCTAACTTGGAGAAGTCAAGGGAAGGTCGTAACAGCTTGGTATCACCGGTCAGATTTCAAGGGTCTGACCTAGTGACCCAAACGGTTTGTTTATTTGAATCTGAAAAACAGGTCAACGATTGAAGGTCGCTCTTACTCCGTTATTCAGTATTGCCGTTCGGATGGTTCCCTTTTTGGTCTGAGATAGTGATCTCAATTACCAGAGACGGAACCAGTGCAAACCCTTAAGAGGAAGGAACACAAATGAGGTAAAATTAAGAAAATTAACAAGTTTTCTGAGGTAAACTTAAATTACTTTTAATTAATAGAAAAAAAAAATACAGAATTTTATAACATTATAATGTTGTTTATTAAAGAATTACTTCTTCACTAGTGTAAGTTAATTCCACGTTAATAATGAGTGTAACGCTAATTAATTCAATTGGTAAAACATATATATTGTATATAACAATTATGTGATACATTTTTGTTAGTGATATTGTATAAAGGTGTATGAATGTTCGTATTCATTCCTCGGGAGGCAAACGGTTGTTTATGTAGGGAATGTATAAAAATAGTGTAGGTGATAATAAGGTACGGGAGAACGAGGTACGGTAGAATGTCGCCGGGTAGGAGCGTCGTAAAAATCGAGATCAGGAATTTCGTTAGGAGGAAGGTTTATTATATCATGGATAGATCCAGGAAGAGAGGGGATTGGGGAAAGCAGATTGATATAATCGGGGTCGATTTCAGGGACATCAAAAACAAGCTGAGAAAAGATTATTGGAGGAAACCTGTAGTTCTAGCGGGACTGCGAGCGGGATCTTGGCGTATCAATAGGAATTGAATCTGTCTGTGTATATGTGGTTCGTGTAAATAATATAGCAATGACGATTAGGTCGACGGTTTATCCTGAATCTCACGTACGGTGACGCAAGCGATATTAAGCCAGCAAAAAATATGAAATTCGTCATGTTCTGAATTTTTCGAAATTGAGTCAGGCGTGCACAGCGGGCGGGTTGGGAGGCTGAGTTTGCGCTACAGTTCACTATAATACGAAAGGAAAACTAAATTTCCTGTGTTGAGAAGGAATCGGAGTGTGAATTTGAATTCAAAACAGACTTACTGGTTGATGATTTTCGTCTGGTTCAAGTTTAAATGCGGCACGGGAGATTGGCAGTGGCAGCCCTCAGTTTAATCGGCAGGAAGTCAGTCAAGAATTGTTGCAAGGGGTTATTGATATTGGTTGCACCAAAAGTTGCACAAAATATTGCATAGAATGTTCCACGTTCGTTTTAAAATAATACTTTCGACTGAGATAATATATATAGAGAGAGTACTGACGATACTAGTGATCACAGAAAGGGCTGACACGGGTTTTTATAATTGTTACCCCTCTTTTCTACATTCCTGTTTAATAATTTTGGACGTTGATCTAATGGAAAAGTTAATTGATTCTTTTGATCTCAGTGGGGCATAAAATGCTAACATTTAGAAAAATCTATGAATCCTATTGGTGGTTCGTGAGTCTGGTAGGATGGTTTCTTATAGTTTTTATGTAGTGTAATTTGGTTGACAAATTTATAATTGCACGCGCGTTTGAACAATATATAATAGATAACGCAGCGCAAGATACTCGATCTGGTAAACATTTGACCGATGTCGACTTTTCTGACTGAAATTGTTTATACTCGTGTGAGAAAAATTCTTTTGTTACTCTCTAAATTTCTTAGAGTGAAATCTAACTCCAAACGAGTGGATATTCACTCCAAGCGATAGTGAAAATACTGCCACTCGTAAAGAATAAAAATTTACTTTTCACAAAAGTGATTGTTTTACTCTAACGTAGAGTAAAGTATCACTCTACGTTAGAATAATGTATTACTCGTACCGGCGTTAATAATTCACTTGATCAAAGAGTGAAATTTACATTCTTTCTTCAAGCAAATTTTTCACTCAATTGTTACAAGTGAACAAATTCACTCTTAATAAGTCTTAATTCTAAGCAATGTATATAAATAAGAAATAGACAAAATAATATTTATTAACTATAATTGACAAAGTAATATATATTATAAACACATTATTAAGACGTTATTTTTATGTTATTTATTATTTCTTCATCATCATCAGATAATCTGTAAAAATAATTAATTTATTATTTCTCAGATAAAATATCTCCCTCATCTAGAAGCTTGCAAAAGTTTGTCATATTTTTTATAAGTTTTACCTAAAAATTAAAGTGAATAATTTTACAAACATGGAATTAAAAAAAAACCTGAAGTGACACAAAAAGTGTGATAAAAATAACAAATACTTTAATTGAACGACATATACACTTTTATTACTATTAACAAATAAACTACAATAAAAAGTATGACCGACTTTTGAAAAAACTTCTCTTTGATCCGCACCCTCAATTATATTCCGACTTTTTGTGTGGACGAGCTACATATTTATTAAATAATTTTACTAATAATTTTAATTATAATAAATATGTAACTCGTTTACACAAAAAGTCAGAATATAATTTATTATTAATGTTTATTAATATACACAATTATATTACTGCTATAACATTACCAAACTATAATTTTAATTTTATTGCAAATCTTACCTTTCAAAATATTGACGGCGTCTTCCGAAATTCCACTGCTTAATAAAAATTTATTTAAGGTTTCAGTACTGTTTAACGTCTCCTAACAAAAGAAAAAAATTTAATATTATTTCAGCAGACTTAACTATAACCGAGATTTTACAGCACATGTTGATTTAATAAACTACAAGTCATTATATAAGTTACTTCTCATTGTACTACTTGTTTATCGATATGCAAACCGAATTTATGACGAAGCTACGTAGCACGGCAAATCACATGCTGTGAGATCTCGATTTACTTTTTTTGTAACCTAACCTAGAAAAACAATTTAACCTAAACACCATTCTTTACATAATATATTAAATCAGTAAATAAACTACACATAAAGTCTTATAAGTACTTACCTCTGGAAGAAACGTTGACATTTTTATATGTCTATCTACATGTATTCTTTATAGATATTCTTATTTATATCCACGATGTCTTGCACTAAATACGTGTAACAATGAGACGAGAACAAGAGATAATAAGACGCAGTGATCATTCACTCTTCATGTGAATGAAATATTCACTCCACACTGCATAGAGTGAAAATATTCACTCTACAAAATAAAGTACACATAATCACTCTACTTTGCAGAGTGAAAAATTCACTTTAAAACAAAAAGAGAGAGAATTAACTCCGTATGAATGAAAAGTCACTCTAACTCGAGTGACACGACCAGTCACTCAATTTTTCGAGTACGTTTTCACTCCAAGAAATTTAGAGAGTATCAGAGGCAGCGTGAAAGAATTTAGTTTGGAGAAGCTTCGTTATGAGCTGTAT